GTCTGAATTCTCATGCTCCAATACAGGCACGTGATTCCTGACAACTGTTTCCTTAAGTTTCTCTTCATAGGTTGTTATCAATCAGGTTTATGAAGAGGAAATTCTCTTGAATTGTGCATTTTTAATAGATTTATGATAAAACCATCAAAGTGGAGGGTCCATATGGTAGAAATGCAGTAAAGGTAACAGGACAATGTCATGTAAACATTAAATACAGTGCCTTCCATCTTCATAAATCCTCAATGTTCATGATTAAATGCTGCCGGTTATAAATTATGCAACCAAATTCTAGAAACAACCACAACTGAAATAAGACACCAGTGGAAGCCATAAATTGTCTATAGTTTTTCTTCCCAGAAAACTCTTGTGTCTTTATTAGGAGATAATTTTTGAGTTCCTATTTTCCTTAACAATTATTTTTTCTCACTTCATTTAGCTTCCTATAATAAGCTCTAGTCCTGGTTAAAAAGTAGTAGTCCAAACCTTTAATTCCAGACAATAGTCTGTCATTTTATATGGTAATGCACCTTTTTGATTTGCAGGTATCTTTTAAAGTTTTCTTAATATAGCTTAAGTCCCTAAGATGTCACCCTTTTTAGAGTCATGTATCAGATGTTTCTGCCACAGTCCAATTTCTCACAGGTATTTACAATCAAATTATTTTATTACGCATGGGAACAATTAAACATTTGGCCCTCAGCTGTAAACAATTACTATATAAAATGACATTCATGGATTTTTTTCTTAAATACTCATGTATTCCTAATGACCTCTGTTAACATAAGTGAGATTGATGTATGTGTATTTTATGTGTTTCTATAAACAATTATATTCCCAAACAGTATCAAAAGAGAGAGTTTAGCTAGAGAATACACTAATCTTGTCTGATATCATGTGGTCACCTGCAATGATACATTTCATGTATTTGTTTTTCTTCAATTGTCATTTTATTTCTGTTCCAATTTAATTCTAAAGAATTGCTGGTGTTCACAGCAAGGAACAAGTAAGGATTTGGATAATTTGTCTTTTTAAAGATTTGGGGTGTCAAATTTGAATAAATTGATATCCATGTTGGAAGTACCAGACAGGTACAGTAAATAAGGAGAGATACAACCAATAGGTTGGGGCTTGAATCTTGGTTCTGCCCATTTCTAGTTGAATTACCTTGGGCAATTTACTTTTTTCAGAATTAGTTTGGATAGTTATAGGACTATTATGATTATTAAATGAAGTATGTGTTTAAAGAGATTAAGCATATACTACATACTCATTACATATTAATTTCTCTGTTGCCTCCCATACATCTTTCCCAGAAAGGCCTATGTGCCTTTTTTTGTGACTTTCCCTTTTGGGAATGTCTATCCTTAGTTGTCTCATGTTTAGGGATACATTTTCCATTCACTAGATCCCTCTTATCTACAAATGACAACCATGGAAGAAGCTCACAGATTTCTCTATTGCCTCTCATACTTCTTTCCCAGAAAGGCCTATGTGCCTTTTTTTGTGACTTTCCCTTTTGGGAATATCTATCGTTAGTTGTCTCATGTTTAGGGATACATTTTCCTTTCACTATAGATCCCTCTTATCTACAAATGACAACCATGGGAGAAGCCCACAGCTGTTTTCCTCACATCCAGAAATAAGTCAACTGGTCCCAGTTGCAAGGATACCTAACAGCTGTATCCAGCCTAAGAGGTCAGAACTAAAGCTAAGTGGTAAGGTTTCAAGGGCAAAGCTCTAGATGTAAAGAATGATAAAACAAAACCTAAATGAGCCTGCACATATCTAGTGACAGATACACCACAGCTATTCTAAATTATTCAAGCTTTCTCAGACTTCTAGCAGGAGAAAAATGATTCATCTCTGCTCTCTTTATTCTACTCTCATATCATGGCAAAGAAGCAAACAAAAAGTATAGCCCCCTCAAAAAACATTATAATACCCATAGAGAGAAGAGCTTCTTTAGTACATGTGGTATTTTTAGAACCATCGAATTTCTGGGAACTAGCTTTGGAAGTAGAAGTTAAAAATGATTTTGCAATACTTAAGGGTGATTGTCTTACTTCCCTTTTGTTAGCATTCTGCTGGCAAAACGCCAGTAAAACAGTTGTTTAATTACCCAGGACATCAAAAACATATAACCTCTTAGATAAGCTGTAACTGTATTTTAGCAGCAATAATACTAAGGTCAAAAGTAACAACAAAAATTAACCTTCAAATAAGCAAACCTCAAAAGAACAGTTTTGTATATTGAGAATAATTAATAACTTGTTTAGGAAAATGTTACTGAAATGTGGTTTTTGGAAAAGGAACTGACACTCTTCAGAGGTCAGATATCCGAGTATTTAACAGGCTACCATTTGGTGGACAGGCTAGCTGGCTACCCTGTAGGCATCACAAAAGTTTGTTCACATGTTATTATGCAACATTTATACAATATCTTAATGATACCATGTAGTTCAGCTGAATCAGTCCAGCTGGAAATTGTAGCAGCATTTAGATTACCCGGCCACATGTGAAATTAAGCCTTTTTCAGTCTCTTATTTTTACTTGCTATGTTTTGATACAGATATTCTTGGAAAGCCTAAATTATTTACAGTTTGACAAGATTTAGCGAAATGAACCCTTCCCCTTTCGCTTTTAACCATTGATTAAGATTGTATTACCATATAAGATATTTAGCTTGTCATTATAAGAAATGCTTAATATATTTTATTACATAGAAAATAAAATATTAGTATATTTTGGACAGTTAGGATGGAACTTTTCTACACCCCTTTTATACAATATATATTGTATATTTTCCTTCTATGCAAATAGTTCCTATTGTAAAGATGAAATTCAGTGGGTACTGTGGAAATCATTTTACTGTGCAGCTAATCACACATGATTATTATTCTAGAAAATAGCAATTTAAGTTGTGTAAACTAAAACAGAGCAGATTTGTCCTTAAGTCACATCATAAAGACATTTAAAGTATAGCACAAACATTTTTTAAGAAGAAAAGGGATTGCTCGAGGATAACACTGTAATTTTATCATATCTCTTGAGTTTTCTCCATGAAAAATAAGAAATCAGTCCATGGGAATTTTTTTTTTTTTTTTTTTTTTTTTTTTAATTCCCAGCTCACTCTGTCCAGCCCAGTGTTTGGACAGCTTCTTTCCCATCCTCCTAACTGAATGAGACCACACCATTTTATGTTAGAAGTAAATGAAGATTTAAAAATTTTTAATTGAAAAACCTTAAAGGTTATACATAGGATCCAGTGAATTCAAGTAACAAATTACTTTTAAGAAAAAACAGTTGTCATCATTATAACATGATTTCAGCTACTTTCTATGAATCAGGTATGGAATAGTTAATATCTCTAGTATGAAACATAAAATGAAACACTTTAAAAACATTTCTATGCATATTTTTATTTAGTTGTAAGCATATTGTGAATTTTAGTAAATAAAAGTAGTGGCTGAGGAGGAATAGAAGTTAATGATGAATGTGTATGCATCCCCACAGAAGAAAACTAAATCTTAATTCCTGTAAATTTGTATTAAAAAATAAAATGCTAAATTCTGTTCAACTGTCATTCCCATTTGTACCTGGTACTTTCTAAACCAAGGAATCTTGAAATGTGTGACTCATGTATTAAAGTTAGCTGACAATCTACGCTTAGAATTGCTGAACGACTAACACAATAAGTCCCCGTTAAAGGTGACTTCGAATTTACCATTGAGATAATGCTAAATGGTCACTAAAGATGTTTAAACATCATTGTCTACTGTCTTCAGTGTGCCATTACAGAGCCTTGGGTTCCTTTCAAATAACAATCAATAGGGGATGAATAAGTCTCACCGCTTGAAAGTAACTGAGAAAGGAAGTCAACAGAGTAATCTGGCTTTGCAGTTGATTCAAGAAGAGACACAATATCCACCTCTCCTCTTCTAGGTTTCTCTACCCCAACCAGCCCACACCCCTGCAAGAAAGAAACAAGGGAAAGAGAGAAAGAAGGAAAGAGAGAGGGCAAAGGCAAGAACAAAATCTAGGGATCCCAGGCATAATTTGTGCTGAGGAGGAAACGTCACGCTGTGGGATAAACTATAGCCATGGAAACAGACTTATGACTTTTACTTTGAAAATAAAAGAATGACAATGAAATTTGTGTGAGGTCTGTGTGAATCCAGTCCCAGATGTTTACAATGTCGTAGTAGTATGGCTCTGCAATATGAGAGGTTTCACAAGAAACAGTACAACAGGACACCACAAAGCAGCGCATAGGCTATTGACAGTGCAGACATGAGCATCATGTTACCAAGAGAGAAGGCAGGCAGAAGACAAATAGCAGCGGTGGTGCCTGAAAAGCTCACTTCATGGACTGCAATCACTCAAACTAAAATAAGGGACCCAAAACAAAACAAAACAAAAATCAAAACCAGAAAAATGCTTTTCGCTGATATCTAGAGGTGGTGGAGTAAAGGGATGGGGGTGGGGAGAGAGTGGAATTGACTTTTTTTCCTTAAAGTTCCCACAAAGCCCCTATAATTGACAGTGGATAATTATTTTCAGCTTGAGGAGCCTGCCCCAAAACTCTTAACAAGAAAGAGAAAACGGGGAAAAAAATGTGTTTACTTGAGCCATTTCCAGAAGGAAGGAAAAAGAGCTCTTTGGATGAGGTGGGAAGGGCAGTGGAGAGAAAGAGGCATCTTTGCACTTCAGCAGCTCTCTTGGCCGCCCTGCGTGGTCCGGCTAGTGACAGGCTGGAGGGAAGGGGTGGATAGGGCGGCAAGGGGTGGGGGGTGTGGAGGGAGCGCACTTAGGGGAGGGGATGCGGCAGCACAATGTATACACGGGAGGGGGGTGAATTAGTGTGAAAGTATTCCACTTAATCATTTTACAGGGGTTGGGGACGTAAATATTTAGCTGGCCACATCTGGAACAGATTTTTCCCCCCCGTGTGGGCTGGGGGTGGATAATTGGAAGGAAGGGAGCACGCATTTGTTACTTACTGTACGGGCAGTTCTCTTTCTTGGTCCCGCTGACCTTCCCGTTCTTCTCGATCTTGAGAAAGTACTTGGTGAAAGAGAACAGCTTTCTCCAGCGGACATCTCCTTGAAGATGATTGTAGCTCCGCACATGCCTTCCCGCGCTGGAAGGAGAGGAGGAGGAGGAGGAAGAAGAGTTGGTGGCCTCTGGTGACACCATGTCCTGACCAAGGGCTTGGCAGGTGACAGGAATGGAAGACACCAAGAAGAGTAACAAGAAGCAGCAGCAGCAGCAGCCGCCGGGCAGGTGGGGAAAGGCTGAGGCACAATGTGTCAGTATCCATTTCCACATTGTACTGAAACTCTCGGCACTGGAAATTGTCGCATCAGAAGGAACATACTGGAAGGGTAAGATCTGGTGCAAAGCAAGGAGAGAGCTGGAGGTGGTGGCTGCTGGTTAGCTCCCTCTGGGCGCGGATCTGGCCAGAAGTGAATGCACCAACATCCATAACTCCTCGGAAAAGCCGGCTGCCTCCCCTCGTTCCTTTCTCGGATCCGCTGCCTGAGCCTCTGGAGTCTCCCAGTGAACGGTGGATGTGGGTGGCCGCAGCAGCAGGAGCTGGTGGTGACGGTCGTGGTGTTGGTCACCAGCGCTCTTCGCTCCCCCAGGAGTTACTTTGTTCTCTTCTTTACTCCTTTCTTCATGTTAGATGCCAAAAAGGTCTGAAAAAACAGATGACAGCACGGTGAACAAAACCCAAGGGAGGTGGGGTGAGGGGCAGGGGGAGATATCTGCACCCCTCTGCGGCTGGCACCTTCTGGTCTCTCTCTGCGGAGCCCCAGCCTGCGAGCCACTTCTAAAAGTGTATCCCTTTGGAGTTGTCAGAACTGGAGGCAGCTGCCCAGTCGCCGTTGTTTTCTTCCCTCTCGTCCTTTCTCTTTTTAGTGGTGCCTGCCGATTTGAAAGTCACTTTTTGTTTTGGGGGACGGCGGCTGGTGTTTTGTTTGGACCTATCCCCCACCCCCTTCCTTTGGAGAGTCCACTTGTAAACAGGTTGAAGCCTGGAGTCGAAATGTCAGTGATTCTAAGCCAGAGGTGGGCTCTGCCTCTGCTGGTCAAACCTCATTTGCAGGGGTGGAGAAGAGGGGGGAGGGGGTCAAACTACGGTGGGACATCTGAAACCCTAGGCTGCTGGGAACGCCAGGGAGAGGGAGGGTGAAAGGGGCAGAGAAGGGGGTGGGGGAGCAGGGGAGCGAGGAGAGAGCGGTGCCTTTGCTCCCAGCTCGGGGCTGCCAGGTCCCTTCCAAGGCTTGGCTGTCGCAGCCGCAGCCTCCGCCTGCGCCCCCAACCCTGGCTAATTCTCGGCTAAAGCGTCCTGTGCTCGCAGTATCCTCCTGCTTTCCGAATTTTACTGTCTCTCAGCCTGAACCAATCCCCTCTGGGGAGCCCCTTTCTCATTTGTTTTCCAGCATTAGGATCTCCTCCCCCCACACCCATTTCTTTTGGCAGTGAAGTACTTGAGAGCCACCTGGAGCCTGGTGCTTGGCTGACTTTTCCCCCCTTCTCACTCCCAGAAGAGGAGAGGGCTGGGAGAAAGCAGAAGATGCTGAGGATTTTAAACCCTTCAGAGCAGCAGATTATAAACTGGTCGGAGCGAGCACAGAAAAGGAAGACATAATTAGCGTCCTTTCCTCCTCTGCTGCCAGCTTCCAAGGAGGTCTCCGCTTTAATGAATCACTGATTTCTCGCTTCCGTTGCTGAAGTAAAAAGTTCACACTTTGGCCCTCTCTGCCTTTTAAGCTCAGGGAGATTTATCATCACCCTTAAAAGTTGCCTCTCTCTTGGCGCAAATGAAATCAGGGACCCAAAGAACCAATTTCTAATTGCTAACATGAGCCCTTCACGGAATCACGCGTGCACTTCAAAGCGAACGCACTTTATTGAGATTGCAAAGATTTTACCATACAATTTGGCTGAATATCCCTGCTGTCTGTTTTCTTTTCTATGCAATTTCCTTCGCACTTTGTCATAAAGAGGAGGGATTTTTTTTGTTTGTTTTTTTGTTTTTTGTTTTTCTATCTTCACATTTAACGTTTAAAGGAGCCTGCTTTACAATATAAATGCACTATCAGTCTTCCTCTCTTCTCACACTCTTTCACACCACCCCAGCGCCTCCCTTGCTCACAGAAACTAGCTCACAACCCAGGTATTGACAGAACTAAGTCCAAGGCTAGGAAGACTTTGCCAAGAATTAAGAGTCTCAAAAACGGAAATACTGTGATAATCCATTCCAATCTGAATAAGAAACAGCTCCTAGAGGACCACTTCTTTAAGGAGGACTCTAAACTAGGGAAAGTGTAACTGAAAGGAATGCCTAAACATGTATTGGAATAAAGTCTTTATGTCGCAGAGGACAGCTGGACTTTTGTATTTTGTTGAAGCCCATAAAATTGCCAATATTTTGAGGTTTTGCACCTACAAAAGTGGTAATTTCATATGGTTCAACCTAAATTTAAGCTGCCAATATAAGACAGAGAAACACTTCAAGGTGAACTGGGAGTTTAACAACAGCAACTATAATTTGGAGGGAACTAATTAGAAGAGCCTGTGTTTACACAAGCCAGGATCCCTATAATGGTGTTTGACCTCCATGTTGGTTGTGAACCAGAGGAAATGCAAAGAAATAAAAAAAAAAAAAAAATGGCTTTAGAGATGGGCATTAGGAATGATTGCTCAATTAAGCATTTAGTGACTTGAAAAGTGGGTTTACATGAATGTTCCTAAATTTTTCTGTGCATTCAAAGCCTATGAAATAGAATCATTTGACCCACCTGGGCAACATGGTGAAACCCCATCTCTACTAAAATACAAAAAATTAGCTGAGTGTGGCAGCTTGTGCTGGTAATACCAGCTACCAGGGAGGCTGAAGCAGGAGAATCACTTGAAACCATTGCAGTGAGCTGAGATCGCACCACTGCACTCTAGCCTGGGCCACAGAGAGAGACACCATTAAAAAAAAAAAATAGAATCATTTAATACTAGAATCGGGATTTTAATTACATTAGTTATAACTCATTGTAATGCTTATTTAGAAGATTTCAACAATGTGGTGAATATTACAATAGTTTTTTAAGTTTAATATAATTTGCTCTAATTTCTGTAGTATTAATTGGAAAGTTAAGCAAATAAACAGCATACATCAAACAAGTTTTTTTCTTTAGGATATTGAAAAATGAACCAGCAGTGCTAATTTCAATTTTTTAGTTCACAGTTTTATACCTGAAAAGACAAATGCCTGAAAGTAAATGTACTGTTTACAGGAGATTTGGGTTTCAGCCCAGTGGTCCAGAAGAATCCAAATGTTTGAATTGACAACTAATTAAAACTACATGTTTTTTAAAAATTATGTTTGATGAAACCATACAAAAAAGATTCTGCTGTGAAAAGTTACAAAACACAGGAAGTTATTATTTTGGGGTTTCTCTACAATAGGAACCAACACTATTGATGCCAGCTTGGAATTTAAACATTTTTTTGTTAAACTCGCCCTAGACATTCACCCCTCCAATCCAAAGCTAGTCTCTTTCCCTCTCTCTCTCACACACATCTAGCAACTTTACGTTCCAGTCGAAGAAGCTATTCAGATCTTTTAGCTATGAGTTTCTTTTTTTCTTTTTTTTTTTCCTATCTGAAATGAGGGAAAAGACATCTTTAAACTTTCATATTAAAATCTGGTTGCAGCAGGTGCAGTGTTTGAAAGTTCTAGAGCCCCTTCGCCACTCTTCTGTGCAGCTTGCTGACAAGAGGGCATTTACAAAACAGCCCAAAGGAAAAGCTGACATAGCTTTTTAGATTATATCTCATTCTTCTCTTTCTTTTCTGTACAGCCTTTCTTTTACAGCACAGTTGAATCCCTAAATACCCTACTACTTTGCATTGTTAGGTCACCTCTTAGGTTAGCCCGAGAAAGCCTGAGAAAAGTTCCACAGGAAAGATGCACTATTTAACGGAATTCAATCTCTCCCAATAGATTTGAATCACTAACATAAATGTATGAATGTAGATTATATCTCTGTAATGAGGCCTGAATCATTCTCAGTTACTTCAAAGGACTGAAATTCTACCTTCCTTTTTTAGCTGCAATAATCAGGTCTTAATGGGTTCCTTTATTAATTGTTTCTTTGCTAGGATTGAAAAGGACAGTACAAGCTTCAGATTAGAGTGGTACCTACTAATTCTCAAAGGCTGTTTTACTCTTTTATCCAGCTTCTGGAAGGCATGCTTTTATTTCTATGCCCTAAACATATCTACTACTACTAGATTAGCTCTGCATTGAGGAAAATAGATGCAGCCTTTTGTTATACATACTGTCTTGAGAATGATTTAGGCTTTTTAAAGAAAGACCATTGAAGAATCCTAAAACCTGGCTCTTGAACCTCAGAGAAGCAATCAGTGTGTGTACTAGCAGTTCCTTCAGTAGCTATTCTGTTTGAGCAGTTTACTGTTTACATATGTATTGCCTGGATTCTTCACGTTGCTCAGCACTATCTGTGGTTCACTTACAAGATGTGTGTCCTAATATGTGTGATGTTATTGGCAGTCAGTAAGCTGCTTCAAATGATGCTAAGTTAGGTCAAAAATCAGCCAGGCTGTTCAACAATTTAGACATGTGCAGGCCTCATTTTTTCAGCCTGTGGTACAACCCTTATGAGTATGTGTTCCAGCCCATTTTTCGGTTTTGGACATAGGATATGCCAGTTTGAAGGCATTGTTAAGACTTGTGCACTTCCCAGGCTGCAGCTAGAAATGATGCTCAGAATCACTCACATTTGGGTGAATGAAGGAGTGATATCTTATTGTTTTTAAACCAGGAGCTTCAAGTGAACACATCAGAGGTGTTATCCCACAGAGAGTAGTGTGCAATGCTTCAGAGCCATTGAGAATCTTAGCTATAACTGGATCCAACACATGCATTTTATAGCTGAATAAGCTGATACTCAGGTCACTCCATGGTAGACCAGAATTTGTAACTCCTGTCATAGATGGTAGACTACTACCCTAATTTTTGCAACATATGTCCTGTTTATTTTCTTTATCTCCCTCCCTGCTCCCCTTCTTACCACTGACCACTCATCATTCTAATATGTCTAAGATGCCAGAGTAGAAATGATAAAAAGGGTCAGGGCTTTAGTTATGGAAAACCAATTATATCTTTGCTGTAATAAATTAACAGAGAAAAGTAAAAAGTAGTTTGGTGTTGAATTATTAAGTACCAGCTGTTTAGCCAAAATAAATATTGATATATGCTTGGCAAGGTGGGATATTTTATCAGTGCTTCTGAGGTGAACACAAAAAGCAATGAATACCTCATATTTTCAGGAGAGCCAAATTTTTTTTTAAATAGAACCTGAATTTATAAGTTCCCCTCTAGGAAATTGATGCCACTTTCTAGAAAAGTAGATTTATAATTTGATTCAGGTCTCTGTGTTCTAGTATTAATTTTCCACAAAGTAGTGTGATATTTCAAAGCATAGATTGCTTAAAGAATTTTTTTCAAAGTTGGAAACTAAGGTTAGTTTTCTGTTCTCTCACTTTCAAACAGACTTAATGATCTGTCATTGGGAAGGAAATTTGGCCAAAGATGATAAAAAGGATCTTTTGAAACAAAAAAAAAATTCTATATAAGAATGTTTAAAACGTATAATAAATCACCACAAATTCCTGGAAACTGAACTTCGCATCTTGGCACTAAACACAACAAACATATTTTCACAAAGCTGCTATTTGTCTCCTCCCAGCTGATGGTAAACATAACCTTC